AATCTCATTTGAAAAAGCTCCTCTCAGCAGAGGCTCAACAACTTTAAAATTTATGAAAAAGCTCTCTCAGCAGAGGCTCAACAACTTTAAAATCTCATCTTCTCTCAAAACTGAGTTTTTTCTTTTAACAAGTAAATTCTTCTCTTTTGAAATCTTTTATTGATCAGGAAATGGAAAGTCTCTGTCCTTATTAAAACTGTTCATGGATGCATGTACTGAGTGCTCTAAATGCAATGCATGTAATGCAATCAAAATTATTCATTGTAGTAAAAAGGTTCTCAAAATCTCTCACTTTTGGCTTTTTTATCAGAATTTTTGTACGACCAATCTATTCTTAACATCTGACCATAATATTTTTCTTCTTTAAAAGTCTGCAACATCAATGTCCTGTCATACTTTTCTCATCCTTTTTCATTTGCTTTTGTCAACTTTTAAAAATTAATGCCAAGATCTTTCATGTTTGTTTTTCTTTTCATCATTTTAAGTCCAAGACCAATAAAATGCAATCACACATTTCTTCTATTCATATGGTGGACAAAAATGAGAATAAAAGAATGGATAGGTGTTATTTTCAAAAGAAAGAAAGCATATTTTATTAGATTGGTAACAAGTACATGGTAAAGTATTTGAGTTTAAACAAAAGTGCCCAAAGGATGATCATAAGATAATCACGAACAGAATATTCCCAGATCCTTTTTCTAAAACTAAATTAGATGACTTCCTTGATCTTTCAGAGTTCATCAAACTACACTTACCTTTGTATTGTGGAATGATGCTTCTTCTTCGCATCCAAGCCGCCTTTTTCAGGTTTTCAACTTCGGATGAGTCATCATTTTTTCATTTTTTTACCTTTTTTTTTCTTTTTTTTTAAGCAAAATATTTCTTCATAGCATTTGAATTTATTGGAGCAGGTAAATCACTTCCATCCATTTCTGCCAAAATTAATGCCCCACCAGAAAAGGCCTTTTTTACCATATACGGGCCTTTCCAATTTGGTGTCCATTTTCTTCGATTATCAGGTTGATTTGGAAGGATCTTTTTCAGCACTAAATCTCCTTCTCTAAAGCAACGAAGATGGATTTTCTTGTCATGTGCTCTCATCATTCTTTTTTGATATAATTGACCATGACAAAGTGCTGTAAGTATTTTCTTTTCAATGAGATTCAACTGCTCATAGCGATTTCGAACCCATTCTACTTCCTTTAATTTTACCTCTATCAGGACTCTCAGCGAGGGAATTTCCACTTCGATTGGTAGCACAGCTTCCATTCCATATACCAAAGAAAATGGAGTGGCCCCGGTAGATGTTCTATAAGCATGTAAAGCAAAGGGCAACTTCTCATGCCAATCTTTATAAGTATCAGTCATTTTTTCCAAGATTCTTTTGATATTTTTATTTGCGGCTTCTACTGCCCCATTCATCTTTGGACGATATGGTGTCAAATTACGATGATGAATCTTGAACTGAGTACAAACTTCATTCATTATCTTGTTGTTTAAATTTTTGGCATTATCAAAAATAATTATCTCTGGAAGCTCATATCTACATATTATCTCTCTTTTTATGAACTTACATACCACAGATCGGGTCACGCTAGCATATGATGCAGCTTCTACCCATTTGGTGAAGTAATCAATCATCACAAAAATGAATCTATGCCCATTCGAAGCTTTTGGAGTAATGGGACCAATGACATCCATGCCCCACATAGAGAATGGCCACAGAGGAGCCATAACGTGTAATGTTGA